TTTTATAAAAAGAGCTTTTTAGTTAACGCCAGGTTTAAAAATTAATTATTTCATTCTAAATATTTGAAATTTTAACCTCTCGCTCAAAACTAGGGCAAAAACCTAAAATTCTTAAAAACCCTTTTAAATATTCACAATTTTTCCAAAAAATTTCCTTTTTCTTAACCTCTATAATGACGCGTTCGTAAAAAAACATGAAAAATATCTCGAGGAAATTGATTTTACTATCTCGTTAAAGATTGAGTTATTCAAACAAGACGCATATATATATATATATATTTTTTTTTTGGTGTTCAACATTTGAAAATGAAATGAATCCTCGCGCCGGTTGACCTCAATATTCCAGGACTTGATATCCGTTCAGGAAATCGAAATCTAGGTTAAGGAGCCGTCAAGACGAATTTACGACGATAATATCGGTGAAAAATTGCATTTTATTGGAAAAAAGTACTGGGTTGAAAGGGGTGTTAGGTGGGTGGGACCAATATTGTCCCTATTATTACGGTTTATTGATCGACAAGCTGTGTGTGAATTCTTCTGTATTAGGACGAATCAGGTTCGAATTTTAACGTCGTCACGTAAAATCCCCGGGAGCATATTCCACACTTTTATTAACGGGGGGTAAAAAAAAGAAAAAAAAAAAGAAAACGACGCTGAGAGAAAGAAAATGACGCTCATCTCATTGTGTGTCATTTTTTTTCTAACAGAAAGAAAATGTCAAACTAAATTTGCATTTTTTTTTCGCTTCACCTTTTCAATTCTCATCAACTCGTCGATAATATCCTGTTCGTTTGATTGAAAATTTGACTTTCAATCAATTTTCGACAAAATTTTTTTTTTTCACTTCATCTTTTAAATTTTTTTGTTTTATCTAAGCGGAAGTTCAAGGTATATAGGGTTTAATGTAGAATCAAAAAAGCATTTTTTTTCGATTTTTTACAATTAAATTTAATCTTATTTTTAAGCTAGGGTTTTAAAATTTTTAGTTCGAAAAATTAAAATTTCATTAACTAGAAAAATAAAGTATTTAAACCGTTTTTTTTTTAAAGTTAAAATGAAGATTATTTTTTTAAGGTTTAGTTTTTTTTTTGGCTTACCAAAAACTTTTTTGAGGTTAGAAATACATGTATGTGAGTGACTTATCTTGAAACGTAAATTGCTATCGCGAATAAATGCTTTTCAAAGTTGCATGACTTTTGAACATGATTTTACTCGACGCTGTCGTTGCCTATTGAACGAACGAAAACGTTTATTGCTTTTCGCCACAGACGATAGAGAGAGAGTCGATGCCAATAAAAATTCTTCTATGGAACCCCCCCCCCCTCCCCCTCTGTGTGAACAAATGGCTAATATATATATATATATATATATATATATATATATATATATATATAAAATTCACAAAGAGACCTCACGCATCGTGAAGGCCACCAATCTACACTTCGAAAAAAGTAACTCAATTTCAAAGCCGCCATCTTAATTGCTAAAAAACTGTGAAATTCTGTCTTTCTCTCTCTTTCTCTCAGTGACATTTTGATGAAAATTGTGGTCAAAAAGGCGAAAATGGCACAAAAGAAAATAATGGCACTAGGGTAAATGAGAATTCCAAAAATGGCACCTTTAACAATAATGATACTGTTTTAATTTTGAAATGGCAAAAATGGCATTATTAATTATCAAAATGTCAAAAATGGCACTAAGATACTACAAATAGCTAAAGTGATAAAGAAAAGAATGTTTATTGCAAAATGGCACGACTGGTCAGTCAGTTTGCCAAAAATGGCACAAATGGCACCAAAAAAACAATGAATTCGACAAAATAATATAAAAATGCAATTTTTAAAAATAGCACAAAAAAACTATAAATTCAGCAAAATTGTATAAGAACGTAATTTGTAAAAATTGACACAAATTGCAACTGGTGTTACAAAAATGGCACAAATGGCACTAAAAAACTGAAATTGCCAAAATTTTACAAGGATTCTAATTGTAAAAATGGCACAAAACTAGCCTAAGGAAAATGGCACAAATGTCACTAAAAACTGAGAATTGTCAGAATGGTAGAGATAAGAATGCTTATTGTGAAAATGGCACTAAGGGAGAATAGTAAAAAAAAATGTCACTAAGAAACTGAATTGCCAGAATCGTGATTGTAAAAATGACACTAATGGCAAAAAGTATGGCAAAAATGTCACTAAGAAACTATGAATTGTCAAAATGGTGATTGTGAAAATGGCACTAATGGCAAACAGTATGACAAAAAATGGCACAAAATGACACTATAAAAATTTTCTTTTAATTCCATTAAAAGTTTTAGAAAATAAAATTCCATTTAAAAAACGATATATTTACGTTTAAATATTATCCTATTGTTCAGTAAAGTACATAATTAATGAAAGAATTCCATAACTAGAAATAATTTAAAACATTTGAATTCTTGAATTGTGAAAAAGAATTTTTAAACTTTACACAAGAGTTCTTTGATAAGCCATAGTAGATTCTTTGCTTTGAAGAAAAATAATCTCCGAGCACAATAAACTTATCCATTTTTTTTTCTTTCTTCCTTTTTATTCTAATGCCCTCTTTTTCTCACTCTCTTATTCTCTCAGTAAAAAAGCAACGATATTTCCTCTTTTTTTCCGTGAGAGGTAAAAAGATTTATTCCCTGTAAATAACCAAATTGATTATAGAAATAAATTCTCACATTATGTATTGAAAAAAAAAAAAATTTATTTCAAAATTTATTTCGAAAAAATTTATTAAATTAAATAAGAACAAAAAATTAAAAAATTAAAAATTTACAATAACATTTTTTACTATGTTAAAATTTTTTGATATAAAAAGTTAATATTTTCAAACAAAAAAAAAATAAAAAAAAAATTAAAATTTTCCCAAATAAAGTTTTGGAATGTAATTTAAAATTTAAATTAGAAAATTTGAAATTAAAATTAAAATATTAAAACATTTGTCTAAAAACTGAAAATATATTTTCATTTGCAAAAAAAAAAAAAAACGAAAAAAAAATTCATCATTTTTCCCTTCAAGCGACGACAATATTTTATAAATATATAGTTACGAAAAAAATCTGAACTTAATTAGATTCGCTAAACGTAATTGAGTAATAACCGTTCAGAGTTTAAAAATAAAGTCATTAACGACTACATTTTCCTATTTTTTTTTTTTATAAAATCGATAAATCTGATGTCGACACATATCAAGATCTTAATAAAAATTACATTTAAAAAAAAAAATTTATAACGACAGCCACATAATAAAGTGACATTTATTTACTATATATATTTCACTCTATATCAAACTTCAATTTACAGTGAAAAAAAAAATAATTTTTTTTTTACTTTTTTTCAGCTACGTTATTTATTTTTCTTTTTTTCACGTGAAACTCAATTAAACGTAACTTTAATTAATATTTTATTACATCATGAAAAGGTTTGCATAATAAATTTTCAAAAATAATTCTCAACATTTTTGGAGTGAGTAAACAAATTTATAACATATATATATATATATACATATAGTTTATGTTATAAATTGTAACGAGATGAACGAGAGATTTTATTGTAGAAAAAAAGGTTATAAAAAAACACTGTTGCAAGCAATAAAGTTACACGTTCTGCTAAAATTTAGGGCATAAAATATTATTGAATTTTTTTATTACTCGACAAATGTCATCAAGCAGCTATGGTCATATTTTTTTCTTCTTTTTTTTTAATACTGTAACCAATGGACTTTTCAGTGACTTTAAAACCACGTCAGTGTAATAAAAAAAAAATACTTGCTATTCGTAGTTTCTTTTTATATTTTTCAAGAGAAAGAGATAAATTTCTTTTTTTTTAATTTAATAATTTCAATTTAATTCAAAAATCAAAGACAAATAATTACTTCTATTTAAAAAAAAAAACTATTTTAATCTCTAGAGTTAAAAACAAACACTTTTGTCCCTAGGATTAAAATTAGTACTTTTCTCCGTAGGGTTAAAAATCGAATTTTAAAAACGCCTACTTTAGCTCCTCCCACTTTATAATCACGCCCTCATTATAACCACGCCTTTTTTGCACCGCCCACTTTATGCACACACCTACTTTAGCCCCTCCCACATTATAATTACGCCAACTTTAGCCCCGCCCACTTTATGTTAAAACCTTCATTTTAACAACGCCTACTTTAGCTCATACTACTTTATAACCACGCCTACTTTAATCCCGCCCACTTTATGGACATACCTACTTTAGCTCCTCCCACATTATAATTACGCCTACTTTAGCCCAGTCTTCATTGTAACCACGCCTACTGTAGCCCCTTCCACTTTATGGACACGTCCACTTTATCTTCTTTGACATCATAACCACGCCTACTTTAGCCTCGCCCACTTTATGTCAACACCTTATTTTATTCCGCCCACCTTGTAACAACGCCTACTTTTGACTCACCCCACTTTATAACCACGCCTACTTTATGATCACGCCTACTTTAGCTCCTCCACTTTATAATAACGCCCTATTTTTAATAGCACTCTTCTTACTGGGGTTAAAATAAGTATTAATTTTAACTCTAGGGTTAAATACAGCACTTTTCTCCCAAGAATTAAAAATGACATTTTTTCCCTAGGGTTAAAATTAGCACTTTTCTACCTAGGGTTAAAAAGAGTATTTTTCTCCCTTAAGCCATAAAAATTTATTTTTTTTATTACAGGTCATAATTTTTCTCTTGAGTTTAAAGAAGATATTTTCAATCTAGGGTTAAAAACAAACATTTTTCCCCCTAGAGTGAAAATTTTTATTTTAGTTGAAAAAAACATAACCAAATAAAAAATTTAATTTAAAAGAAAAATTCTTTTCAATAGATAGAAAAAAAATTAATTTTCACTCTAATCTTGTGATATATGTTATAGGAAGTTAATTTCCTTATTTGATATGAAATCATATAATTGCATCCTGTGATTTCAAATAAATGAAAGAAAGAAAAATATTAAAATGCAAAATTGAAAATCATAAAACACAGTTTTTGTGTCTTTTTTCACGAGTCAAGAAATGAATGAAACATGAAAATAAAACCGAAGAATATCTTTTGGACGCTCTTTTCCTTGGCGTGCATCATCATTGAAGCTGATGTTATACATTTTAACACAAGCTCAAAGGTATTTACGAAAGAAAAAAAAATGTCAAAAAATAAAATAAAATGAAAAATAAAATTTTGTAATTTTAATAAAATATTATTTTATTTTTAAATAATAAAAATAATTAAATATTAAAAATAATTTTTTAAAATAATTTTTTTTTTCCTTTTTTTTTGTTATAGAATTTGCACGATGAACAACGAGAAATATCAAAATTATACTATAATAATAAAACACTTTTAATTAGTGGTTCACAATTAAAATTCTCCGATATACCAACAAAAGAGGAAAGAATTAAAAATTCATTGCCAATAAAAGGTGAAATTATAAAATTTTTTGCCAAAGAACAAATAATTATTGATCGTGACATAAATGAAATTGGTGATGAAATAAATATTGTAATTATTGCGCCAATATGTCAAGTGGATGGTTTTAGGATAATAAATTTAGACGGCACATCCGGTAAAGTTCACGCGGTGACACAAGCAAAAAATGGCACCAATTATAATTTAAATGGCGAAAATGGTAAATCAGGTATTCAAGGTGGACGTGGTGGAAGTTTTTATGGAATTTGTCAAATATTCATTAATGTCGAGAATCTTATTATTAATGCCAATGGTGGTAATGGAAGTCCCGGTCAAAATGGTGGTGATGGCGTAAATTTGGTGGAAAATGGCACTGGAATGAAGGAGAATTGTCAAAATGGCACTTTTGGCGAAAATGATAATGTTTTAAAGGGAAAATGTTATAATGACACTGACGATGGTGGTAATTGTAAAAATGGCACAATTGAAATTGAAAATGGCAAAAATGTCAAAAATGACAATAAGGAAACTATAAAATGCCAAAATACCGCAGAAAACAATGCTAATTGTAAAAATGTCACTAATGGTAAATCTGACAAAAATGGCACAAATGGAACTATTTCAGTTGTGTATTGTAAAAATGCCACTGACGGATATTTGAATAAAACAAACGGAGTGGTGAAATTCCAAAATGGCACAATGGAAATAAAAAATGGCACAAATGGCAAAAATGGCACTAAGGAAACTTTAAACAACGAAAACGAAAGAGAAAACGTTGATTGTAAAAATGGCACCATCTACAACTCGTGTTTCGAAAATGGCAAAAATGGCACCGTAGGTGGAAAGGGGGGTGACGGTGGTCCCGGAGGTGCAGGAGGAAAAGGAGGTGAAATTATTGTAATTATTTTGGAAAATTCGAAAAATATACCAAAAATTTCCGTTTTGAATGGATCAATTGGCGCTGCAGGTGATGGTGGAAAAGGTGGGAAAGGGAATTGTACTTCTAAAATAGCTGCCGATGGTGATAACGGAAATTCGGGTAAGAGTTTATTAGATTTCAAATTCCTGTCCAATAAAAGTGATGAATTCAATTTTCTTCAAATTGTAAATGATTTTAAATTTTACTCACAATGGCATTTAATTAATTTTAATGCAAATAATAATTTTGAAAAATTTTATCACCTCTTCGTGAAGGAGATGAAAAATTACACTAATATTTTTGGATTTATCGATGAATTTTTGTATTTGGAAAAATTATATTTTCTTCACGACAATAAATCGATTTTAATTGATTTTTATCAATCTCTTCAACAACGTTTGAGTAATTTCTCAAAAATGGAATATCGCGATATTTTGGAGAAATTGGAAAATAATTTAACAACAAGAATTTTAAATAGAAAATTGATTACAAATAAAACAATGAATAATTTAATTGAACTTAAGGAGATGATAAAAATAAGAAATAAAATTTGTGAAAGAGTTAATCAAACTAAAGAAATTATTACCATAAAAAATTTTCTCAATTATAATTTTGTGAAAATAAAAAATTTCATTTCACTTCAAATTAATGAGAAATTGACAAATTTTATTGATAATGTCGATGAAAAAATTATTAATTTAATTCAAAATTGTGAAAAAAATAATAAAGAATTGGAAAAAAAATTACAAGAAAGATTTTCATTAGAAACATTATATTTAACAACAATTGCAGTTGAATTTACAATTCCAATGATTTTTGTTCTATTCGTGATAAATTTGTATAATAATTCAATTGATCAAAAAATTCCATTAAATGTTGAGGAATATTATGATGAAATTTATAAACGTTATGAAAATTATATTTCCCAACGTGTTGTTATTATTAGAAATCATATAAATTTTGTTGAGGAGAAAAAAAAATTTATAAATAACACAAAGGAAAATAAAAACGATGAACAATTCAAGACACTCACAATTGAATTGGAAAATTTTCTTAAAAATCTCACGTCATCGTATTGGATAAAGAAAGAGCCATTTAAATGGGAAATTGAAATTCTCATGGAAGAAGAGAGGAAATTGAATTATTATTATACTTTATCTGAAAATGACACCAGCAGCAGCAATCAATTAAATATTATTGAATATTTAAAATTAGATTCAAAATGTGGACAAATTTTTGGTGAATCGTATAAAAAATTTTTAAATAAAGGATTAATTAATGAAATTCAAAAAATTGTTAATAATTCAAATTTCAATTATTTAGAAGAAATACGAAATAAAATGTTACATGAAATATTACCCGATTTAAATGATTTGAGAATTAATTTTGGAATGACTGATGACAATATTAAAATACCATTGAATAGTAAAAAAGTTAAAATGATGATTTCCCTTGATGGTTTATTAAATGGAATTTATTTTGAAATTGGTTCAATTGTTTATCGTGATTGGCATAATGGTAGTTATGATTTTTTTGGAAATAATTTACGTAAAACGATTGAGGATATACGTGGTATGATATCACAATTATTTAAACTTAGGAGAATTTCAAAGGATAGGGGAAATTTTACCAGTGATTTGATGTTAAATTATAAATTGTCATTATTGGATTTGCAACAACATAATAATTTCATCAGGGATTATTATTTGGATGTTTTATCGAAATTCAAGGGATATGATTTTTATGAAGAGGAAATTGTTAGGTTGCAAAATAATTCGATAGTTAATAGCGAGGAGAGGGAATGGATTGAAATTTTGAAGATGAATCAATTTTTTGATTCGGAAATTGATAGAATTGATCGGATCACTGATCGAATGGTAGAGGTGCTGGAGGAAGAAAAGAAGGGGAATTTAAGTGGAAATTAGGAGGAGAAAATTTCTTTATAGTGTAATTATGAAAAATTTCCTTCGTTTTTTTTTTTTTTTGTAATTTCCCATTCCTTTTCATTTATCTCCTCTTGCTTCCTTTAGTGTTTCCTAATTGAAAATTCTCCTTCTCCTTATCCTTAGGGAAAGGAAATTCCTTCTCCTCCTTCTCCTTCTCCTTAGGGAGAGGAAATTCCTTCTCCCTCTCCTTCTCCTTAGGGAGAGGAAAATTCTTCTCCCTCTCCTTCTTCTAAGGGAGAGAAAATTCCTTCTCCTTCTCCTTAGGGAGAGGAAATTCCTTCTTCCTCTCCTTCTCCCAAGGGAGAAAAAAATTCCTTCTTCTTCTCCTTAGGGAGAGGAAATTCCTTCACATTGGGGAGAGGGAATTCCTTCTTCTTCTTTTTTTTAAATTTGGAGAATTAAACGAATAGCCGACAAAACGAGTCAGAATGAGAGGGTTGTTTTTTTCGGCCAAGGCAGGAGGAATGGGATAAAAAAAAGAGGAGAAGGAGGAGTAGGAATTGGGACGTGAAGACTCGATTGGAAAATAGAAATAGAGTAAAGTGCCGGCGGGTTAGAATAAAAGAAAGGATAGAGGAGGTGTTGGGAAGCAGTTACTTCCGTGAGGCAACAGAATGCAAAACGAATTTCCGATACTTTCACATTTATTGGTGTCGATTTCGCTTCATAAAAGTAGATACTTGGAGCTCTTTTTAAACTGACTTTTTCGAAAAGAAAAAAAAACAAAAAGCTCTTTTCAAAATTGATTGTGAATATTATTACTTTTAAATAAAGAATTTTTTCTCTTATCATTTGATATCTTCTTATTATCTCTCAATATCTATTATTATGTGGATTTAATTTTCAATTTATTTTGAACAATAAAAATATTTTTTTCCTTATCTCTTCTAATTCCTTTCAATCTCCTCTTCCTTTATTTTTTCCTTTTCCTTACAATTTTTCCCCCTCTTTTCTTTAATTCCTGTTCCACATAATTTTTAATTTTTCCCTCAAATTTCTCGTTCCTCTTAAAAAATCGATTAATAACATTTTCTACAAAAAAATAGAGAGAAGAAGGATTTTTTCTAAATTTTTTTTTTCATCTTCCTCCTTTATCCATTTTTTAATCTCTATAAATTGCTTCAACTTGTTGCCATACTTTTCCTCAGAATACCACTATGACCATTCTCTTATTAATATTTGTTTTGTAATTTTTCAATCTCCATATATATAGAAAAATACTTTGGAATTATTATATTTTTGCGTCGACTGTAACTGCATGCGCGAACTGAAATTAAAATCCAATGGTTGCAAGAGAAAATTGGGACTGTGGTTACACACCGGCGAATCGAGGAAAAACCAATATGAAACGGTGTGCGGTGACCCTTATATATATTCCCCGTGGAAAATTGAGACGCAGATTTTTTTTTTTCATTTATTTTTTTTTTTTCAATAAAATGAAATTTCAACGAACGGCTTTCATTGCTTTCGTCCATATTTTCACCTAGTGTTAAACCAACTGAGTATATGGCCGTGATTGCATTCGTATAGTGTTGAAATTTATTTCTGATATCATCGTAGATATTTTATTACTGATTGCGAGTTTCAAATTCCAATTTTCAAAAGAAGCACCTAAATCTGATTAAAAATAAAATAAAATAGGAAACGATAAGAATTCATGTGAAATTGATTTTCAATTTTTCATGAAAAACATGATTATTCTGTCTTCTTTTTTAGGATAAAGTTACGTTCATGTTTGTCAAAAATTGTTGAAAATAATTTAAAAAAAAAATTGTTTCTACATTATCTTTTTCTATTTTGTAACCACGCCCTACTTCTAATCCCGCCTTCATTTTAACTACGCCTACTTTAACTCCGCCCACTTCATAACCACACCCTATTTTTAATTCCGCCCTCATTATAACCACATCTAATTTAGCCCCGCCCACTTTATGACCACACCCTATTTAATCCCACCTACATTGTAATCACGCCTACTTTAGGTCTTCCCACATTATACTTACGCCTACTTAAGCCCCACCAACTTTATGATCACACCCTATTTTATCCTGCCTACATTATAACCACGCCTTTTATTCCGCCGACATTGTAATCACGCATACTTTAGCCCCTCCCACTTTATGACAACGCCTACTTTAGATCCTCCCACATTATAATAACACCTACTTTAGCCCCGCCCATTTTATGACCACGCACTTTTTTTAATTCCTCTCATTATCGCCAAGCTTATTTTAGCTCCTCCTATTCATGTCTAATTTAACTTTTTTTTTAATAAAAAAATTTATCTCCTTTCTTTATCATTTAAATTATTTTCTAAATAATTTTCATTTATTTGGAAAATATTTTTTATATTTTTTCTTTATAAAAAATTTTTTTCTCCTTTTAATCAAATTTTGAAATTTTTATTATTTTTTTTCTCTCATGCAAAAATATTTTCATCAAAATTAAAATTCCTACTTGTTAAATACACGACTGTTTATTTTATATATATATATATATATATATATATATATATAGTTACTGCATTTCAACAATTTTCCAACAATATAAACTGATTAAGGTATCACATCGGCACTAATCGGAGTCAAAAGTTTGTAGCTCGCATTACTACTTCCCGCAGTATACTTTCGCCCTCAACTCCCTATACTCTCAGCCCATACTGTACCTACTTCTACAAATACACTCGTACACGTATACCCCACACTAGCAGCGATTGGAAGGAGTAGGAGGTTTGACAACGTCGCTATAAGTCTCGCTTTGACTACTGTGGACTACTGTCTCTCTCTAACTAATGTTACCATCCTGCGATGTTGCCACATCAAAGTGGCGGGTGTGCTATATATTGCAAATGACGTCATGAAATAGAATTTTTAATTTATAATTACAAATAAACGGCACGGTAAATTATAAATTTTTTTGTATATTTTAGTTCCAAATTTATTCGTGAATTCAACATTAGTTTTTGAAAAAAATTTATAGAAAACTTCTGATGATATTTATGAAAATGTACTTCTCCCCCATACATTAGTCCCGTCTCCCATGCAAAATAAGCAACTTTGATTGCTAATATCTCTGGTTTCGTACGGCGAAAATTCTTCATATTTTGCAAATTTGTCAAGAATGATAATAAGAACATATGGTAAAATTTTCAAGAAAATCTATAGAAAACGGTTTTACCGATGTGATACCTTAAGGGAAAATTAAGAATTTTTGTAGAGAGAAAATATTTTACTCGTATTTTTTTTTGCTTTTTCTTTTTTTTTTTTTGTTGCAAGCTTTATAATTGTGCCGGAGTTAATTTTGTCGATCTCGACATGGTCTGTGAAGTACTTATTCAAGTGCAGGAGAACGTAATAAAATACAGGAGCTATCTGAATGTGAAATACACACGTTCAACTGTTTTGCGTCAACGTGGTTATGTGACAGAAGCCTTATTACCCAAATCGCAATATTGTTCTAAAAAAAAAAAAAAATTGACGAAGCTTTGTTTTCATTGTTAAAAAAATTCTTCACAGAAATATTTTTAAAATTTTTAATTTTTCTATGTTATAAAAAAAATTTTTTCATTAAATAAAAAAAATGAATAAAAAAATAAAATTTAATTATTTGTTAAAATTGGTTTGTAAAATGTTTATTGAATTTTATATATATATATATAGTATATATTTTTCAAAAACCACTTTGTATTAGAAGACCATTTTGTTAAGTAAAGCCCTATAGGAACTTGTTGTGAATTGAATTTTCCAAAGCTCGATGCACTTTTTTCATTCTCTTTTCCTTTTTTGTTTGTTTTATTTTCTTACCTTTTCTTTACTTTCTTCTTCTTCTACTTCTTTTTTTTTATCCATTCACGTCGTTTCTTGTCACGTCTTAACGCGTCGTTGCTTGTTTCTTCTGCTCTCGTTTGTGCCCAAGGATCACAATCCGCGCGTGTAACGAGCTTCCTCTCTTTTCTTCTTGTGCAGAAAATCACATTTTAAAATTTTCCTTTTAAACGAAAACACACACACACACACGCACACCTTTTTTTCCTCCTATTTATTACACAAAGAGAAATTAAATTTATTTTATTCTTTCGAAAAAAAATAGAAATAAAATAATTCAATTCGTTTAAAATAAAAAAAAAACAAAAATATTATTGAATGTCAAAAACTAAAAAAATTATTATTTGGAAAAAAAAAATTCCTCCTATTTTCTAAAATTTCTATCAACTTTTAAAAAAGTAACAGCGCGCGAATCTTGAATGTATACAGTGCAGTAGCAGCCCAAACGTTTGGACTTTGTTTTCCAAGAAGTTGGAAAGTTACCTTCAATTTTCCCACAATGCACACAAGCACTGCGTTCATATTGTGTATCGTCGTCTTTTGCAACCCCCCCCCTCCCCTTTCTCCTATCCTCTTTACCCTTCTTGTACACTTTGGCGTTCGTCCTGAAACAGGTTTGCCGCCCCTGACGACCCTTAGCGTCAACCCCCCCCCCCACCAAAAACTCTCCCGCTCCGTTTACTTGAAGCTTTCAAACAAGTTCACTGTCGTGAACACCACAACAATGCGGTAAGTTTCACGAAACTTCTGTTCTACGACGTTCTCTTCCTTTAGAGAAAGAGAGTGAGAGGAGGGAAGGTTTCCTTCTATTCTTACCTACCACCATCCCTGTGTATGTGTGTTGATGCTTGGGCGACAGTAGATCTTCTCACGGGATACAAGAGAAATTGCTTTTGTCAGAAATTAACATACTGTATTTCAATATTTACTTGTAAACTATTGGAATTTGCTTGTGACAATGCCAAGGGGATTGATTTGTTTATTTTCAACTTCAAAGAGACGATTTTTGACGCTGATATTTAATAAAATTTCAAATTTTTCAAAAAAGTTACGCCCACTTTACTGAAAAGTTACATTTTGGCTCCTCCCACTTTCTAAAATTACGCTCACTTTATTTTTGCCTCTAATTTTCTAGTCCCTCCCACGTTAGATGAACCCAATTTATAATCACGTCCATTTTTATAATCCTCTTACTAGTCTCCTACATTATAATAACGCCTATTTTATCATGTTTCAATTTATAACCACGCCTACTTTAACCCCTCCCAATTAATAACCACGCCCCATTCTATAATGACACGCCAATTATAACTACGCCTACTTTTACTCATCTCACTTTATAATCACGCCTACTTAAGCTCCGCCCACTTTACAATCACGCCTTATTTTATCCTGCCCATATTGTAACCACACCTACTTTAGCCCCTACCACTTTATTACAACGCCTACTTTACCTCCTCCCACATTATAACTACGCCTACTTCGACCCCGCCCACTTTATAACAATATCTTGTTTTATACCGCCTACTTTAGATCCTCCCGCTTTATTACTTCGCTTTTTTTGTCCGCCCACATTGTAATGACGCCTACTTTAGATACTCCCACTTAATAACCACACCCTATTTATAATCCCGCCCTTATTATAAACACGCCTACTTTAGCTCCTACCTCTATGTAGCTACGCCCACCGTAGTTGCTTTTACTTTATAATTATTTCTACTGTAGCTCCACCTACTTTTTACCACGCCTACTTTAGCTTCTCCTACTTTATAACCACATCTACATTAGCTCCTTCTACTTTAAAAACACTACTTTATAACCACACCCTAATTTTATTATCGCTCTCATTATAACAACGTCTACTTAAGCCCTGCCCAATTTATGGCCACGCCTCGTTTTATCCCGCCTACATTGTAACGAAACCTACTTTAGCTTCTTTCACTTTATAATTACGCGTGTATTACAGT